CCCCCCAGCTAACCCCATCTCTGCCCCCAGGGATGATCCAGGCGTTGGGCGGGTTTTTCGCCTACTTTGTGATCCTGGCCGAGAACGGGTTCCTGCCCTCGGGGCTGGTCGGGATCCGGCTGAACTGGGACGACCGGACTGTGAACGACTTGGAGGACAGCTACGGGCAGCAGTGGGTGAGCGCGGGGCGGGGCGGGCCTGGGGTCACCACCCCTTGGAGCTCCCCACGAGGGGCCCTGGGACAGACCCGGGGTGCAGCCTGGACTGTGGGACACTGTCCCCTTCTACGCTCCGGCTCAGGGTCCCTCTCACCCGGCTCTGCCCCCGGCTTCACTCCCAGCCAGCAGCGTGCGAAGGTTACACGCAGCCTCGCACGAGCGGAACCCAGGGAGGCACCAGCAAATCCCCCAGCCCTGGCCTTGCACCCCACAAATGTCCCGTCTCACACGGCTCGAGACCCTCCCGAACGGGGCAAGCGCATTCGTTCCTTCGCCCCTTCGGCCGCGCCCCAGCCCTGCCGACAGACGCGCTGCCCCGGGTGGAGCTTACGGGCGTGCTGGGCACAGAGCTCCGAGTTGGTTACATACGAAATAAAAGGTAAAACCAGAGTCTAAATTCTGAGCTTTATCCGACTAGGCAAGATTTGAACCAAGCCCAGGCAGTTCACAGCTCTTCATACGCCGCTGGATCCCGGCCCAGAACTTTACTCCCAAACGTGGGCGCAGGTGGGGCAGGAGGGGGGCGGGCGCATGGGCCACGGCCCCTTTTCCCCTCTCAGTTCGTGAGCCGGGGAAATAGGCTTCTCTGCTGGCCTGGCTTCCATGGGGCCCCCGCTCCCAGCCCCCAGGCGGCTTCACCCAGATTGGCCAGGGTGTGCGAGTGTCTAGCTGTCCTCGGCCCCTGCCAGGGCGGGTTGTGTTTCACACACACCCTCCAGCGGGGGGTGTCGGACACACACAGCCCTGACATTGTTGCAAGAGTGAGCTAATCGGCACCTGACTGCAATGGCTGGGGGCAGCCTTGGCTGGGGGGCAGTTTCGGGGGGGGGGCTGGTGCTGACACTCTCCCCCTTTTTCCCCTCCCAGACGTACGAGCAGCGCAAGGTGGTGGAGTTCACCTGCCACACGTCCTTCTTCGTCAGCATCGTGGTGGTGCAATGGGCTGATCTGATCATCTGCAAAACCAGGAGAAACTCAGTGTTCCAGCAGGGCATGAAGTGAGACAGGCGCTGGGCTGGCAGGGGCTGCGGGTCGGGAGTGAGGGGCACCGGCAGGGCTGGGGGGCAGGACTGGGCTAACAGGGGCTGCGGGTCAGGAGTGAGGGGCACCGGCAGAGCTGGGGGG